GTTTGATTATTTGTAATAGAATATATATCTTATGAGATTTTGAGCCATATAAATGACAATATCATGTCATTTTACTCTCCTTCATTGTGTGATTGCACTCATAGTTGTATGACAGTAGAACTTGCCTTGAGCATTTTTGAGACTATATTTCTATATACTTGTATTAACATGATAGAGGCATCATTTTTTTCTTGCAAACTACTAACCAAAAAGCCAATCTTGCATTATTTTCATTGTTTAAGCCTCGTTGAACTTAATTTTCCTATTTCTTATGATCTTAGTTCATTTCAAGTCAAAGGTATAAAAGAATAAAATGACCTAACCTTAGGGGATACAAGAACTTTCGAATTGTTTTGGGAATGAGCATATAAATAAGTGTGGGAAAGATTACTTTAGAAAATGCAAGAGAAAAGAAAAATTAGCTACTCAAAAAAAAAAAGGAGAAACAAAGAAAAAAAAGTAAGCAATAAAAAAGAAAATGAGTATTGGATGGCTAGCAAAAGTACAAGAGGATTGTTTTTGGATTGTATTACATTATATTTTTGTTTATGGGATTTACTTTCATGTTACTTTCTTTGGATTCATTCTCCATTATTCTTATGTCCTCTTTGGTTTTAGCTTGATTATCTTTGTAATTTTTCCACCTACACTATGCACCTTTATAACCTAGAAAAGTCCTCTTGATTTTTGTGTGTATGTGTGAATTCTAGTAGAGAAGTAGACAATGGGCAAGCTTATAGATGATCATGCTTCATGTTATGCATTTTGAGTGACACACTTTACTCTATACACTTGAGTGATTGAGAGTATATTGTGTGAGAATTCTATCTCTTTATGGTTCATTCACTTGATTTGAAGTGTGAGGATTGATTTCCATTCTAGTTATGATATTTGAACTTGATGGGCTTTGTACATAGCCTAATTTGGTTTAGGTCTCCTATGGTTTGATTTTGTAATTTGTCCCAAAGGGCAAAATCTTAAGTGGGAGAATTTGATGTGACATATTTTAGGTTTATATTTATAGTTTTATTTTGATTAATAAACACTTTTCATATACTTTATTTTTAGAGTTTTTATCATTTTCTAATTATTTAAATAAATTGAGCTTGTTACAAATAAATGCTTTAATTTCTTATTTTTGGTTATTCTGACCTCTGACTATTCTTTTGGCCATAACTTTTTCTATAAATATTATTTTTGGCTAATTCTAGTTGCATTGGATTCTATAGATCCAGGGCTTTAAAATGCATATATGGATCGCTAGATTTGGAGTTATTTTCAATTTTTTATGATTTTTTGATGTTGAGGCAGATTTGCTAAATATTGTTGCAGGATTGCATTTAGACTCTTGTTATTTAATAATTGTATTTGGAATTTTAGATATTATTGAAGCCTGCATTTTGGCCGCTTAATTTATCCTAATTAGAACCTATAATTGAGGAGAAAGAGATTAAACACTTTGAGATTTTGAGACTTGGTCGAAATAAGAATCTTTATTTTTACTTTTTTTCAAACTCTCTTGTTCTTTTCTCATTCTTGTGTGGAGTAAGCATTTCGATGGAAGACTAAACCTCTTGTTCAATCCGTGGAATCCAAACACCATAATTTTAACTTGAGTTCTGTGCTAAATTGCTCTGAGTTTGTTCTCTTTTCTCTCTAATCTCATAATTAAATATTGCGATCATAATTGACTTTTCTATTGTTAGAATTCAAATTAGGACTCGATTGATGCTCTGATTTGATAATTAATGCGGATTAGGTTAACTGATTATTTGATTTAATTTGTAACTTATTCAATTAGGATATTTGACTGAATTAATAATTGAATTGAGTGATTGTTCAAATGCAGATTTAAATCTTTAGATACTGTGATAGTCAGAGTTACACGTAATTGGTATTCTGTAGATTGATGTTTCTTAATTCATTTTTACTCACTTTAATTTTGTTCGTAATTTAATTTGATTAATTTCAATTTTCAAAACCCCAAAAATCTTATTTGCACTTTTTAAAGAAAACCTAAAATTGAATTTGACTGAGAATGTGTCTCCATGAATTGACCTAGGTTGGACTCTATACTAAAAATCTTTAGAAAACTTAATTGTTTTGATAGCAATTTGACAATCGTCTATCAGCGCCTAACAGCCCTTCGGCTTCATCCTTGGATGAAAGGTGCCTAACACCCCTTCGACCTCATCCTTGGATGAATGACACCTAACACATTTTCGGTCTCATCCTTGGATAAAAGGTGCCTAACACCTTTTTGGCCTCATCCTTGGATAAATGGCGCCTAACACCCTTTCGGCCTTATCCTTGGATGAATGGTACCTAACACCCCTTCAGCCTTATGCTTAGATGAAAGGTGCCTAACACCCCTTCAGCCTTATCCTTGGACGAAATGTGCTAACATCTCGTCGGCCTCATTCCTGGGCAAAAGGCGCCAAGGCGGTACAGCTCCAACATCTAATTTCTTTGAAACCCTACTTCTGTTGATACATTAATTAAAGCCCTTACGTCATACCTCCTCGAGCTTGGGAGGCAAATGTACTGGATAAGACACTATTCGATCATTTCCATTTAAACAGGAAATCGAATACCCTTTTGGCCTCATCTTTGGGCCAAAGGACACTTGCCCCCTTTTGGCCTCGTCTTAGGCCGGAAAATACTTAATCCATTCGGCCTCACCTTGGGCTGAACAGTACTCACATCCCCTTCAGTCACATCAAAATAGATTAACAGGGTAATTAAGATAATTAATCAAATAAAGAAGGGTTAATTATCCAACTAATCAGAAGGTGGTTTATGGCTGACTCATCAAGTCCATTAGCCTAATATTATGCCTATAAAAAGAAAGTAAGAAGGACAGATAAGGAGAGACAGGAGAATATTTAATAACATTTATTACTCTATACCGAATACTTACTTGACCATTAGAGTGTCATTGCAGGTACCCTCCCCCTTCAGACAAGGAGAATCTAAAATATTTTACGAAGACGTCGCAGCAATATGCAAGGATAGAAGTTAAAATAAACTAGGATATCCTTTGCAAAAATTATATATATATATATATATATATATATATATATATATATATATATATATATATATATCGCGATGAAGGTTTACTGAATACGATAAAAAGAAAAGTACTTATAGGTCGTAACACCAAGCCAACCTATAAGTAATATATTATATTTTTAAGGTAAATTTTTATTAAAAATTAAAAAATATTATATTTTAAAAAAACATTAAATACTTTTTAAAAAATAAAAATAAAAAGTCAAGGACCATTCTGCAATATTTATATTTAAAATCCCCAAATGTAAAACAACATAAACATTCTGAACATAGTTTACTGTATTAAATATTTGACAACACTGTCATATGAACATACCACTACATCATTTAGGTATCAGTATTTTCAAATTTACAAAGACACTAGTAAACACCAAAAAAATTATTTCTTTTGTTTTAAAAATTAATATGTGTTTTAAAAATGAGTTAAAAAGGAATTGTGTTGGATTTTAGCTTATATTTGCAAATTTTTGTTCTTGGCTTTTAGATATTCGCACTTTAATTTCAAACATTGCTACCAAACATTGGACTCCAAAAGGGTCTTCTTGGTGCGGACTAGTGGTTATTTCTCCCCTTGATTCCCCTATAATATAAAATCATCCATCTAAAAGGCACTATCAAAGAAATTAATTTAATCATATTTCACTCGCTAACTGTGCCAATCTGGCACTTCTAGCTATTTCATGTATAATTGTGCATTAATTTGTGTGTAATCAAATCTCAATTTGGATAAAGAAATTTTTCTTGCAATTTATCATGTCGTGATTCAGCATCCAGAGATAGGGCTTTTCTTCTGATAAATTTGGATATCAAGTGGTTTGTTCAATCATATGGACACATATCATGAGAAAATGGAAATTAATTTAGTACACTAGATGGAGATTTTCAAGGTAATTAATTGATCGTTGAGATTGTCTAAAGGAGACACATAATTCAAATTAATAATTTTGGTGAATACCAAAAAAGCTATTACTTTTGGCATCCTAAATTTTAATATTGATATACTATGTGAATTTAACATTTGTAATTCTTACACATAAGGTTCACAAACACCATAGTGAAGCACTACCATCACAATCACGACTCCTTCATATGCTTTGTACTTTCTTTGTTACACTTGAAATGGGAGAGATGGAGATCGAAAATGCTGAAAATGAGATATTTCAATTCATGCCAGGGTTTGATTTTACTGTGAATAGTTGCTAAAGTTTAGCAATTTATGTGGAGTTCACTAAATATGCATTTCCACTCACTTTTGAGGGATGAAATGCAATAAGGTATCTTCTTGACTTGGGTGAGGGGTTGGAATCATTTATTTATTGTTTTACTTTTAAAAAAAATTATATGATATAAAATATTTAAAAATTTTAAAAAAATTATGATTATTATAACTTACTTTTTATTATAATTTACTTGTTCCTATATACCTTATTTTTCTGTCCATTTAAACAGGTGAAATTTTTTATTTCTTTTACTCTTATTTCTATTCATTCAAACAGCATTCCATCCTATTTCTTTCTTTTGTATTTTTTTCATCTTTATTTCACATTTCATCTGTGCATACTTTTAGGTTTCAATTTAAGAAGCACCAAATAGGGTATATTACACCAACTTATTAACTTTTTATCTCTTCATTTGTTATTTTAACTGGTCATGTTCTGTGCTGCACCTAAGAAGAAGCAATTGAATAACAAAGAAGAAGCAAAAGTAACTGAACTGGCAAAAATAACTATTATATTCTCTAAGAAAGAAGCTGCCTCAAAATTATGACACTCATATTGCTACATTAATTTCTAGTTTACTAAGAATGAAGAAAATGATGCTATTTTTTGAGGTCACAAATCAGATGCTTTACCAGCGATGAGATATTGCATGGGCAGCATAGCATGTCTTGACTTCACCATGCAAGTTCTAAAAGCATGGTCCAATCACACAGAAGGGAAAAACTTGTTTAGATTAAAAGGTAGAGAGTAAAATTCCTCACTCCTCGTATCTGTCTTGAATGATCGGAATCTGTCCCACCAGTGCATGCCTCTGTCTTTACGGCTTTGGTTGTCTTTCTTGCGCAATGAAACGTCCAAAAACAGTGCCAATAAACCCGCAACAAATGGTTCAGATGCCAATGGCACATTGATCATGTCGTTGAACTATCACAGTGAACCACAGGATTACTTTTATATTTAACAAAAAAAATGAGAAAATTTTCAGCTTAAGTACCAAAAAATAGTATTTTCAAACATTTGAGCCACCAAATTGATTCTTTAAGGAGTTAAATCTTTATTGTATTAGTCTGCCAATGTTTTTGTCCCAAAATAGTCTTTTTAGCATCACATTAATCTTATTTAAGAATTAATTTGATGGAATTTCAGATCTGTTTCTTTAAGACAGTGCATAACACTGTGATTGCATCAAAATTAAAGAATAAAGAGAGAAAGGATGAGAATAGGTGGATACCCATCTTGCGCGGGTGTGCACAGGACCATAGCCTTTAAACGCTGTGTACTCGTTGAAGTATTGGGGTATAGAGAAGCCCATGAAAATAGAGAAGCCCAAGATGAATTTAGTTCTAAAGCTGTTTAAATTGCAAAATTGAAGAAAACCGAGACCTGCTGAGCCTGTGCAGTGGGAACCAAAGAAACAGCAAGTAAATCAAACTTGATGAATCTTGGAGACCAGAAAAAACAATGTTTCTCTAAGTTGATTATACGCACCTACGTAGGCAAAGAAAAGGCAGTATAAAGCAGCAACTATTGGAGCTGGAATTGAAGCAAAAACGGCACCAAATTTTCCTACACATAGTAGCTCATTCATTATAAGTAATTATATTCAAGATAAAAAAAGGAAACAAATCACATCAAAATTGCCAGGCTTAAAAAGTTACCAAGAATTGAGAAAAAGATCATGAATCCGGCTGATATTTGAACAACCCTTCGGCTACCAACACGTGTCAAAGCTAAGAGCCCTGCATTCTCTCTGGGAAAAAAGGCAATGATTTTATGCTCTTCCCACTAGAAAAATAATATGCCAAATAACATGCAACTGTTGAATTAGGATCTTACACAGAAACTGATGATCCATTCCCTGTCCCAAAGATCCCAGACAGCAGAATTCCCACTCCCTGATACATCAGAAATGACAATAATTGATGATCATAAAAAGTTTGAAGAATGAAAATATGAATCTAAAGCAATGTATGATCAACAACGATAAGACCAAAAATTTGATTAGGTAAAAAGCAAAAGATTCTGATTGATTATATCTGACTATATGTTTACCTGCCAACCGACACCACGGCTAAGAACTGAAGGTGGAATTGGCGTTGCACTTGCGTACCTTGACACAGCAATGAAAGCTCCAGTTGACTGTTGAACAAGTACATTTTTTATGCATGAGAAAACTAATGAATTTGTATACAACAAACCACACACAAAGGGCAATGCTACTACAATGCGTATCTAGTTCACCAGCGTAGAAGGTAGACAAACCTCTACTAGACCAACAAATGAAGCAGCCATCATAGCAAAAGCTTCTCCAGCATCAAATGTAGGAGCACCCCATTGAAAAGGATATGGGATTCTTATCCTGCATTTAATGTTTTCACAAATTGAATTTCCATTTTTTGTTGCCATTGGTATAAAAATAAGTAGTTAGTTAGCATCTATTAACCTAAAGACGACAACATCTGTAATAAGATCCTTACCAAGGAGCACCGCCTATAATTCCAGCACGATCAGTTCTGCAAGTAATTTGGGTTTTAGGAGCCGAATTTCGATAAGCTCCACCAACAGTAAGAAGATGAGCATAAATCCACACAATAGCCACTGAGAATATAACTGCAAAGCGATCAAAAATAGGCTTTTCTCCTTTCATCATATGGGGAATGTACTGCAAAAACACGCCTCTATTTAAAGATAACGTACAAATTCTAGTCTTAGGTACTCAGGGAAATGTTGAAATATGGCTCTAATGCTCAAGAAAATTATAAATTTATCAATCACCTGTGAAAATACTATTAGGATGATGATTTCTGGCAGCCCAATCTCCACACATTTTGCAAGCTGTAATTCAAAAGCCACAATCATCACAGAGGGAATCACACATTATAACTAGAAAATATATGAAAGAAACAAGAAATCAAGAACTAGTTCTTGTTGCAAATATATATACCACAGGAAACCCCAGTTCATACAGCCCAAAGCCTGACAGAGCAACCAAGGGAACAGCAGAGAGAGGACTTAAGAACCTAAACAAAAATTACAGAAAATTATCCATGAATACGATTTCAATAGGCTAAAACAAATTAATAACTTTCAGGATGGAAAAAATTGTATCAATCAGTAAAACTGCAAAGTACTTTTGAATAAAGTCAAAAAAATGTTATTATCATATCTAATTGAGTTGACAGACAAAGTGGAGAATAGTATATATCTATATCTATCTATCTATCTAACATCTATCCCAAGCGACCAGCCACTGTATTCATAATCTGAAGGAGAAAAAAGTGATAAGAAGTTTAACTAGAGATTGGACAGGTTCAAGAACCTCACTACATTGCGCCACAGGCCACTGAAACCAAAAACAATTTGGAGGGTTGAAGCAACAATGAGGGCACCCTGTGTTCCACGCATTATCCTTTCAAATTTCTGCACATTCGTTAGAAACCAGGTAAACAAGGGAGATGAGAATAACATAACAAAAACAGAAAAGAGTGAAGATGAACATGAACAAGGATTTTGTGAGGAACCAACCTCCTGAGGATTCACAATGTCACTGTAGCGACCAGCCAGAATGATTGAAATGGTTGTTGGCACAAAGGTGTAGGATCCCCCAATAACCGCAGGTAACCGAGTCCCAAAGAACGTTTGGAAAAATGTGTTTATGCCAGCCACAAACAGTAGAGTTTGAATCACTTTTGCCTTCTCTTCCTATGGAAGCAAATTTTCAACCTTCATTATGAACCACCCAACAATATTAAAAAGAATACTTTTTAATTTTAAAGGCTTACATTTCCTCCTCCCATCTGGGGAACAAGAGAGCTGGGAATTAGGACAGTTGTGCCAAGCATCACCAGGTAATGTTGGAAACCAAGAAGAATTGCCTCCGCTTCATTCACATTAAAATTCTAAACTCAATCATCATATTGAATATGACTGTGTACTCAAACATAAAATTAAGATCAGTTAACAAACGTCAACTCTTAGTCTTAATTTTATGCATAAAAATTATTGGTGAAGTAAACATTTATTACACTTTATTAATTGTTATATAATAAATATTTACTTTTCTAATAAAATCTTACCACTTTTGAATGCTTAAAATCAGCTGCATTAACGTTAACAAAATTGATATAAGAATGCAAACACACTCCACACATAGAGGGGCTATAGGCTAAAAAATGCAAGGCAGAAAGCGGGTCAAGTTCTAGCAAATAGTGAAAAATGGTTCCAATGAAGCAGAAAACTTACGCCAGGGAGGAGGACTTGTAATGCAGTAAGAAACATTGGGTAATTGATCTTTGACTGGATGAGGCTGATGCTCATCCAGCTTGGGTTGTGGTGCAGCTCCTCCTCCTGCCATTCTTCTTATTCAACTCAAATGCGACCAAAAATCAAACTTCTCAGAACCCAACAAAGCAAAAAACCAACGCTTCAACAAACAAAAAAATTGTTTTTCCTACATTAACTTCTCAACCACAAAAGAAGTTATGCAACAGTGACAAAGACACCAACAAAACAGGATGGAAGAAAACTATCACAGCTGGTTGCTTTTCCCAATGAAATGTGGAATGATCAGAGAGAGCAGTGGCAATGGGAACAAATGACAGAGCAAAAGAAGAGAAGAAGCTCTCAAAGAAAAATGAACATTTTCTCCCCTCTTTGGAAATTCACAAACAAGTCCAAGGGAGACAACTTGTTAGCAACGTAATGCAATGCAGCAAATGTTGGAGGATTTCTTAGCCCAAGACCCACTTGGAGGCTAAGAAAACATGAAAAGTGAGTGTGAATATGTGGAAGAAAAGGAAAAAGAGGGAGCCAGCTCTTGCTAAAGCAAGAAAGAAACCAAAAATACAGAAGAATCTCCCAGTTCCATATTGCTTTACAATATTGTAATCCAATATTTAATGCTTATAATAGCAATGCTTTTCTTTTTATTCAACACGTAAAGATAAAGTTTCCATAAAAGCATCTTGACCTTCACCTTTATTTACCTCATGTTTAGTATTTAACTAATACCAATATTTGTCAAAAAATAAAAATCATAAAAAACAATGTTGCTAACAAGAAGTAAGAAGGAAGAACCCTCTCTTTCACTGGCCATTTCAGTTAACCAATTTTACCCAGCAGAAAGTTCACCGTTTTTTAACCTTTTGCTCTCTTCTCTAGTACATGTACTGATGAGTACTACTGACTGCAAATGATCAAAAGCTCTTATATTTTTGCCTTGACTGTGTTATTTGGTTGTTAACTGTGACTTCTACTTTGGCCCAAAAAAATAAACAAAACAAGGAGTTTTGTATATGGTTGCAGGTTTTGTGTGATGGTTTAGTCCATTTTTATTTCACATACAGTCAAACCTTCACGTATAGGTCTCTTCTCTCTCACTTCTGTTACAGTGTCTATTTGCATGACCCTTGAACACTGAACTGTCTATCTTGTACTTGTCCTCTGAAATCTGAGAAACAATCTCTACTGCACTTATTAAAAAGAGCTCACTGGAGCACAATCACGAAGTGCATGTCTATTGGCTCCTATAGCCCTAAGGCAATGCAATGCCAATTAGCAAATAATATTAAATCCCTCAAATTCACTGGTAATCTTATTTATCCAAGAATAATTAAAGTTATAATTAATTCTCTTTTATTAAGTAACAATATCCAGTGGTGAGAGGAGAACTTGATGCCCACCCAAACACTCCTTAGATAGATGCTTGGTTAAGTGCTTACTTTTAAGAAGTATGCAAGTAATCAGGATATTTTGAATGTATCATGATTTATGAATAAAGATGTTGCACCATAGCAAAGTTTAATGCGATTATATCTTAAAGTATTACGTAATGATTAATTTAAACTGATATAAAATGTTCAACACCACCGTTTTTAAAGTATTTGTTCTTGGTGACATTTGAATGGTCATGATAATAGATACAGACATTTAGTTAACATCAGATCGAACTAGTAAAACATTTTAAGTTTGAACTTTCTGGTTTAACTAATTAAAATATCACCGAAAGGTTTCTTCAATTTTATTTTCGGCTTTAGTTTTACCACATTAATCACTCAGTGACTTGAAATGATTTAATTTTATGGTAGCATTAGAGATTAGTCATATTTACAGAAGTTAATTTGAAATTTAATATTCTTTTTATAGAAATTGTCACTCTGAGTGTTTTTGCTCTAAATTATTGCCTGCACTTAAGAACACAGAAATCATTTGAAAGGATTTAGGAAATGTTAAAAATAGTATGACTTTCATAATTTTTTTAGCACATTTAATAAATTTTGTGGTTAAAGTTGTGTCATAAAATGCCTTGTGATATTTTTTTAAAAAAAATAAATATTTATAAATTATGTTATCTAATTGTATTTACAATTTTTTTTCTAAAAGTAACAAATTTTAAGATAAGAAGAACGATGTTTCATAATAAAATAAAGAAAATCATCAAACTTAAAAAATATTTAAAATTTACATTTATTTCACTAAAAAAAATTAAAGAAGATTCAAATCTACAACATGCTGGTACCTAAATTGACCAAACCCTTGGAATAAAATGCACCTACTACATTTGATACATAAAAGTTTCTAATACTCCATTTTAAAAAAGTTTCAAATGCAAAAACACCATGATCTCTCTCTCTTGTTTCTGTTCATGCATTTTCTGTCATATCAGCTCTTTCATCCTTCATTTGAGGAATTTGTACTAACTTTTGCCAGTCCAAATATCTTTTCAGTATATAATTAATAAACACTACAAAATTTCAATAACAACATTTAAATCGATTGAATTAAGAAAAAAAAAGTTCGTTTCTGTTATCCTTTCCTTTATCATGAAGAAATGGAGCGGTTCTTTCTTGCATTTACTCCTTTCTTCCACTAGATAATTCGTACGTAGAATAACATTTAACTGAATAATGCATTAATTTATTGATGCCTCTAAAGTCACAATCTTTTTCTTTGAATGGAAAGCGAAGGTCCTTGGAGATTTTCTTGTATAAAAGTACAGTAAATTAAGAGAAACTAAGTGTATTTAGACTAATCTAACAAAAATTGAGACATGAATATGAAAGGTGAATTGTTTATTGACTTCATTTATATAAATTAAGTTTATATTATAGTACATACATTGTACGGATATGCAGTTTACATTGATAATTAAACATTGTTGGAATGAAAACCTGCATCCATTACACCTCAAAATAGAACTGCCGAGGATCTATTTCTTAGACATGTGCAACGAAAATGTTTCTCTTAGATTCTCTGATGAATAATGATTTGTCCTTACTTAAAATTCCATCAAGAAACATGGAATGGATTCATTCTCAGCCAATCTCCCAAAAGAGTTTTCAAAGTGCCTAACAAATAGAAAAATAAATCTGTTACCGGCCAACGCTTTTCTTTCGGATGGATTAGTAGCATATATACTAGCATTATTATTGCAACTCAATTCATCTTGTAATTAATAATAGCCAAAACTTTTCCAATTGTAACCAAATGAGATTAATTGTGAAGAAAAGTTTTAAAAGGGTCGTTACAAGATTCATTACTGATTTTTAAAGATAATTTTAGGGAACAGCTAATATGTAACTATTCTCTAGATACAATATAAAAAGCATGTCAAAATCTAATTTTTTTTCTTTTATATTAATTTAAAGTTAAATAAATTTAAACAACAAAACTCATATTATTATTATTATTATTATTATTATTATTATTTAATATTCAATTTTGATAGTTTCACACAGTTTCAACAATTCTCTTGTATTTTTCACAATAAATTATCTCATTTGTACCTCATAAAAAGAATTAGCAAATTGGTAAATTATTACCCTGATTATATAACCATTATTATGATCATATAACTTTATAAGTTTTTCTTTTATCTTTGATGAAGATTTTGATGCAGAATTTCTCAATATTAGTTAATATTTTCTTTAGTTCTTAAACTAAAATGAAAAGAATAAATATAAATAAGAAAATAAATAAGTAAAGATGAGATGCAACCATTTTTTGCATATTAATGCATACAACTCTTCTATGCGTGTAATTTCTTCTTCTTTTTTCCTATGGATAGAGTATTTTTTTTCATGAATTTTTTTAAAAAAATAAAAAAATATATTCAATTTTTAATCTAAATCTTTAAATAATAAATAAAATAATAACCAACTTTCCTTTTTATTTTTGAATATTTTTATAAAATACAAAAATAGTTCCGTTGTTTTCTTATTTATCTCTTCTGTTATTTATCAATCCAAAAGTTTCTTATTTTTTATCATATGTTTTTTCTAATTAAAATAAATATTATTAAACATAAATATTGTTAAAAACTTTTTGTTATAAAAACTAAAAAATCTATGACACTAACTCAAGAAAATTGTAATCTAATTTTCAATATGACAAATAATAAACTAATGCTATAATAAGATTAGGCGTTATAATTATTTGGAGCAGTAAAGATTAATAAATTTATTATTGAGTGCTTCTTTGATTAACGAGAAAAAAATTAAAATAGAGAGAACATTTTTTTGTTACGTTTTAGATGTTTTATGTCCATCGTCTCAATGGAACAATAGTTACCTCAAAATATTTAGGAGCAAGACCTCTTGGTTACTAATGGAATCGGTCAAGTCTACTCATAAAGTTATCACAAATAAACTTAAATACAATAGAATATGGGCTAAACAACATATATTTTGGCATCTAATTAATCTAAAATTAAATTAAAGTTATAAAAAAATTAATTTAAGCCAATTCACACACATAAAAAATCTAATATTCTCTCACCTATACAACATAACTATAAAAACATCATATTGTTCTACATTAATCATCAATATATAGTCACAACAAGATACAAAAATAAGTTAACATAAACTATAAGTATCTTAACAATGCAGAAAATTATACTTGAAGGAGTTATGATATTATGCATTACAAGACATCTATATCTTGTAACTCAACAACAAAATGAAATATGTGAAACATGGATAAATGGAAAAACACAACAAATAGTGTGTCAAAGTATGAACAAATTACAATTTTTTTCAATAAAATAGTCCAAGCATATGCCTAAGATACTTTATTAAATTTAATAAATCTTATTACAATAAGAAGATTGATATTGAGTCCAAAATGCCTCCACAATATGTTATCATACTATACGCATACACAATAATAATTATAACAATTAAACTGCCTAAAATAAATATATATGACAATAACAATAGTAACAATAATTATTATTTAAATAATGTCTCAAATATTATTTGATGTTTGAAATATGATAAAATAAGTTTAAATGATAAGATTTTAAATGGTAACAAGAGCAATCAAGTTTTACAAAATGATTGTAAAACAAACCTAATAAAAAAACTGCATTGAA